GAACTGTACTTTTAACCGGGGCAGCCTGATCATTTCCACACACACACAAGTAATTTCTCACTTCTGGTGCTTTAGAGTTTCTGTGAGAATAACCCACACAGAAAGGCAGAGGGCACAAGGATGGACTACTCTCCTGCATCTCTTGCTGTTCAGAGAATATCCTTTCATCCTCATCATTTTCATTGTGTTGACATCAGGTGTCACTCCCGCTTCCAAAACAAGATTGGCTGCGACTTTAGTATCTCCGAAGCCTTCAGCAGCCAGATACAGCTTCGGCATTAAAAAACAGAGGGATGTCATTACGTGAAAGGAATCTGTGGATGTCACTGTCCCCAGCATTTGCACAGATGAACTGCTAACAAAAGAATTTAGGCACATTTTCATTTGAACTCTCAAACAACCTCAAACGCTCCAATTCTGTGCCAGAAATTTCATCCTCATGGGCTTCAGCAAACACAAAGAGGAATTCATTTGAATTCTCCACACAAACAAGCTTTAACAACAGGAAGGAGGCCCTGCCCTGCTGTCAAGGAAAGAGGACCAAAGTTCTGACCACTTTTTATCCACAACTGGCTCCCTGCTCACACGTGGGCCAGGCCAACTTAATTATTCTTGAGTTTTGATACTGTGAAGAAGTTCTGCACAGAATTTGTTGTCAATTTTAAAAGATAATTCAAATTTTTCATACCTTTTACTGTCTAAATACCCTGAAAACACTACCTCTCTCCATCTGCCAAACTGGAACTTTTGCATTTTAGCAGTGCTTCATTAGATCCTCACAATTTAGGGGTTCTGTTAGGCCTGGACCTCACCCAAATCTATCTGCCAATGGTAGCTCCACTTGGTCAATTCTCTCGCTACTTAATTACAGCTCAAACAGAACTCTACGCACGTCCCATCAACCAAGCAGCCTTCCTCCTAAACCCCTCCCTGCTGGTACTTGAGTATTTTGTTTCCTTCCCTTGGCAATGCTTGTTAATCATTGCAAGAATACAGAACTGTATGTACAAAGAAAAATTACAAAAGTACATCCTAAACACTTGGAAGATGGAAGGTGGAGGGGCAACTCAATAGAGTAGCCAGAATCATTAGCAATAAGCCATCCGTTTTACACAATTTTCCTACAGAGTTAGGAATACCATCTTTCTAATAGAAAAAAAAAACCCAATAAAAACAAAACAAGAAACAAACAAAACCCAAACAGAAAAACAGCAAGAGAAAAAAGACTGCAACCAGTCAACAAAACCCACTTCTTAACAGCCAAAAAAATTGCAGTGATTAACACAGAAAGCAAGCTGACTCTGGCAGACATGCTCTTGGACATTTAGCTTCATTTAGGGAAGGTTACCAAGGATTGCTAGACAGAAACCAGAAAAGATGTCCCTCAGCTTCCTCTGTGCTTTAAAAAGAGTTCCCTCCTGGAAAAGGAAAGTTTCAGCATGCAGACATTAAGACATTTTCTCTGATGTAAATTCATACACCTACTCAGAAAGGCCATGTTGCCAAAGGTGACAGATACCATATTCTACTTGCTGTATCTCAGCTAGATAACAAATCAAGTTTGCAATATAAAGTTGTTCAAGAACAAGATAAAATATCAGCATCCACACATCCAAACAGATACTTAACATGGAAATGGCAAAAGACAGTGCTTCAATTTTCACCATTTGATTTTGTAGAGACCTTAAAGCTGTCTGAGGAAATAACGTCCTTGAGCAGAGAAAGGGAAAACGCTTGGATGTTCCACAAGGAGATTAAGGCCGAGTCTGAAATGAACACATAGGAAGACAAAAGCAGCAGTAACTTGCAAAACCATTGTCAGACAGGTTCTCGCAAGTAGCAAAAAGATTCAGTTTGACACAAGCAGGTTTAATACAACTAAAGCTTCTTTAGAACTTAGGGACTTGAAAAAAAATACAGAAAGGGGAATCTGAAGTTCGCTCTTTTTGTGAGCAAGAGGTTTGGTTTTTTTTAATACAGACTACTGCAAGTTGCTCTAATTGGCAGTAAAACTGATCTTCCAATGTTTTTAAATGAAGTCCTAGCCCTTCTGCCTTCAGTAAAGCCAGTTTTCACCCAGAGTCCTTACTGTGAAAGCTCAGAAAGTAGACAAAAAACAAAGTAAAACTCAAGTGCCAGAATAAAGATATCCAAGTTTTAAACAGGGCTCTGCTACAGCCTTCCTTTAATATGTTGAACAAATTCTTAAATTTCTACTTAATTTTTTAATTCATTTTTATGAAGATGAGATGGCAGCAATACATTTTAGCTCACAGGATGAGGACAGAATTATGAGCAGTTGCAAACCACTCTGATCTCCTTGAACGAAAGGACCTAGATTAGCACAACACATTATACCAGTCCTTAGAATGAGCTGATTTTAAGTGAGCAGCAGCATTATGTAAATTAGTTACAAGAAAGCAGAAATTAGACGGTGATGATTCAAATACAGTCAAAAGGTTGAGTAAAGACAGTATACGAAGTTTAGTACAGATACAAACACATTGGCTCCATACACACATTTTCTGTTTGCACACACGAAGTGGAAGTTACTGCATCTCCTCATTATATTTCAAAAGAAGCTGACCATTCAATGAAGCTTCAACTACATTATTTTAATTCAGTTACCCTGTATGTTCTCATAAAGCATGAAACATTTATACAGAGACACCCATACACATCGCCATTCTAATTCTATAATCACTGAAGGGAAAAACCACAATGTATACAAATCAAAGGTCCGTACTGTTTGCTTCAACTACAAACAACAAAAATAACCCCTGGGATTTCCCAACCCCTCAACAACACTACCACTCTTCCTCAGAAAAAATTAGGGTAATTTTGCAATTAAAAACACAAACACTAATTTCCCTGTTCAAGTAGAGTTCTATATTACATTATTACTACCTGAAAAATTCTTAGAATTACAGAAGTTTCTATACTCGGAAGCTAAATTGCACAGCGCTGACTATGTCCAGAAAGTAAAGTTATGCATCAAGTTGTTTTTATGGTTCATCCTCTGAAAAGGGAAGAGGTTGCATAGGCAAGAACATAAAATGCTAGGTACAGTTTAATATCCACAATTTCATGTTTATGTATGCTTATCCAGATCACAAAAAAAAATATGATGGTAAAAAATAAATCAATTTGACCTGCATAACCAGGATGTAAGTGAGAAAAGGTCTATTTTCTGGATGGTCCCAGGGAAATTATTAAAACTAGTTACAGAAATTAAAGATGTGTGAAGGTGCCTTTCTGTGATGACAAGCCTATAATTATTGCCTAGACAAGCAATAATGACAAGCCTTGAATTATAGTTTTAGAATATAAATTCTTGTATATTCTCAAGCATTTCAGTGAGATACACTAAAGTGGTCTCTTACAAGACATTGAATACCTTTTCTGTGGCTCTTATGGCAGTAATATAAGGGTTGTCAACTTCACTGGAATACATCAAAACCTAAGGAAAATAATTGCAAAAAATTCAATCCACCGTTAAGGTTCACAATAAGAAAATAACAAGCAGAGAGACACACAAAACCTCAGATTTCAGTACAAACATTACTCCAATCATGCCGCATATTCTGTATGTTTTACAACATACAGTGCACTAAAAACAGTAACATAAATTAATCTATAATAACTAAAAAAGGAAACACATCAAAAATATACAATAAAAGTATTAGCACTGCAAACAAAAGAAACTCCACTGCAAACAGCCCTAAAATTCCAAGAG